CCCCAAAACCCCAAAACCCCAAAACCCCACTTGGCTGCACCAAAGTTGAAATTAGGAAATAAAAATAGAGGAAGGTAAAGATTTAGAGCAACTAAGTTAAGTCACAGGTATATTCAAGTCTGGTCTAGGTGAAATTGCATGCAGAGAGGATTTCTTGGGCAGCTTCTTGAGTAACTCCACAATAGAAAAGAGATATTTTTTTGGTATTGGTTCTGAAATCTGATGAAGTTGCGAGTCCTTGAATTAATTTGACAAACTCTTTAGGATGATCTCACTAATCTATCCCGTCATCAACCCACATGCAACTTAGTGTAAAATCTTCGATTCTTGAGTTTTTGAGTCATCAATTAAGGTAAGGAGGATAAGGCAGATAGAGCATATTATTATCAAGTCAAAGTATCTCCACATGCTTATATGCAACTGATAATCTCTTCAGTTTGGGGATATTGAGAATAAAATTACTGAAATTTACTTGCTTCAAAACTTTCGGACCTACTCTGATTATTTGATCGAAATAATAAAGAGTTGTAGTTTTTCATTTACCCCAAATAGAAAATTTGAATTTGTCTACTCTTTTAGGAAACGAATGTTTTATAAATTCATTAACTCCCTTGTTTTTAGGGACTCTGATGAAGTAAAAGATTTCTGTATTAAAGAAAGTATATGGTCCGAGAGTTTCTATAAATTTAGAGTAAAACATCGTATTCACGAGCCCCATGAAAAGCTTAACCATCAGAACTTCCTAGTCAGAATCTGACTGGAGAGATGATTTAGTAGGAATAAGGTCGGTCCCAAGAATATTGTAATAATGATTTCAAATGAGTGAATAGTCTGTTTTCTGAGATTGTTCCTTTTCTGAATTCTCTATACTATAGCTTTATGAGTATCTGCAATCCCTTTAATCCCAACAGAAAAGCTTCAGAATTTAAAATCAGGGATTTCATACAATGAAAAATAAAATTTTAGATTAAACTATTCATCATAAGGCTCACTACACTCTAAATCGGTTCTTGTAGGTTACTACAAAACTCTTCATACTTTCCCTGCAAGAAATAGCAGCCAGATGTACTCAGAAGAAGGAAGTCCAAAGCCATCTAAGCTCCCAGGCCTTATATCAACACCCTGAGGGTTTAAATGGGTCACAACAGCAGGGAATCATTTGTGGGTGTTAAATATTACTCAGTTTCCTGAACCGACTTGACCTCTGCTGGCTATCTTACCTCAGCTTTGCCTCCTTTCCATGAGTTATGTCTGAAGGTAAGCTGTCAATTTATTATAAATATATTTCTATTTTAGCTTTCCGTACAGGGGTTTTGGGGTTTTGGGGTTTTGGGG